CCAAGACCTAGAATTCCAGACCAGCATGGTCTGGTTCTGGTGAGAGTCCTCTTCTTGGCTTGCAGACGGCCACCTTCTTGCTGTGTCGTCAGGTGGCAGGTGCAGGGAGAGAGCAAGCTCTCTGGTATCTCTTCTTATAAGAGCACTAATCCCATCATGGGGCCTCACTCTCATGACCTCATCTAACCCTAATTACCTCCCCAAGGCCCCTTCCGCAAATACTCTCACATTGGAGGTTACGGCTTCAAAATATGACTTTTATGGGGACACAGTTCAGTCCATATCAAGCCTCTTTGGAGTCTGCTCAGGGACAGAAAGCCCTGGGGGACATCCAATCTGACCCCCTAGTAATGGGTAGCAGCCGGGGTGCACCAGGCATGGAGGGGACAGCTGAGCATAAACAAAGCCCTCCCTTTAGGAGTGATCGGCTCAGTGTATGTCCCTTGAGGATAGTGTCATGGTGTCATAATGAAACTCTATTAAAATAGCTAAGCATAAAATGCATAATTAAAAAGCTTTACATAAAGACACATTTACACCACAAGCTTTAAAGGACACAAGCACCCACGTATATTGTATATTTTCTCTTAACTTCATCACTTTTTTAGTCTCATCCTGGGTTCATTCCCCAAACTCAAGTATTGTTTTTCCTTTTAACTTTCCTTTAGTTGCTTAATTATATTTTAAAAGTGTAAGAGGATTTCATGGCCAGACATAGGTGGCAAAGGACTGGACATAATATTATCATTTTTATCATAAAAGTAATATATGCAAATGTTAAACACTTTCCAACAGTACAGGAGGGCAGAGAATAAAAAGTGTCTCCCTCCTTACCTCCTCCACCCCAGGCAGTGTTTCAGAGGTTCCCATCATTAAGTTGCTTCTGTATTCTTCCAGAAATGTTTATAGACGTGCAAGCTTACGTATGTATATTCTTTGAAAAACCAATATTTTAAATTATGTTTTTTTTAATTTTATGAGTAATACATGAATACATTCACTCCGTGAAAAGCTGAAGCATTACAAACAGGCTAAAGTCCCCACCCACTCCCTGCCCAGAGGCCATCATTATTATGAACGTAATTTCTATTTTTCCTGATCTTTTTGTGTGCATTTACATACACATCCATGAGGAAAATACGTCGTGTCATTTTCTGTGTTCCCTTTCCTCCCTCCCTTCCTTCCTCTTTCTCTTTTTTTTTTTTTTTTTTTTTGGTAAAGTACACATAACATAAAATTTACCATTTTACCCATTCTTAGATGTCCAGTTCTGTGCCATTAAGAACATTCACCCTGTTGTGCAACCACCCTCACCATCTGTCCCCACAACTCTTTTCACATGCAGAACTCTGTCCCCATTAAACACTAACTCCCCATGCCCCGCCCCCAGTCCCTGACAACCAGCATTCTACTTTCCGCCTCTAGGAATCTGACTGCTCTTGGTTCCTCCTATACGTGGAATCATACAATATTTGACCTTTTGTGACTGGCTCATATAATTTAGCATAATGTCCTCCAGATTCCTCCACGTTGTAGCATGTGTCAGGATTTCCTTCCTTTTTAAGGTGCTCTGAGGTGTCTCAGATCATTTGACAGGTAAAAGCATCCAGCTAGAACCTAAGAACAATGTTTTGTTTTTACTGTACTTACGGTTATAGTTGCCTTCTATCTATGGTAAATGATCCTGGTTTCCTTTTCTTTGATGGTGATATAAAGCTTACTTTTACAGTAAATGCCTCTCAGTTAAAAAGTGAGTCTGTGGAATTCCCTGGCGGTCCAGTAGTTGGAACTCCGCTTTTACTGCTGAGGGCCTGGGTTCAGTCCCTGGTTGGCTGGGGAACTAAGATCCCACAAGCCGCGTGGCACGGCCAAAGAAAAAGTGAGTCTATTCAGAGAGAAACATTCAGTAAAGACCTGTCTGGGTTTGAATACAGAGCCCGCCACCTCCTAGCTGTGTGACATGGATACGATACGACTTAGTTCTTCTGAGCCTCAGGTTAGTTATAGGATTAAATGAGATCATGCATGTTAGGAGCTTCACACCCTGGCATATGGTTAAGCACTCAATACTATTTGTTATCGTTATTATATTATTAATAACAGTAATATTATTAATCTTAAATTTGTCCAACACCACCTGGCTGCTTGGGAAGTCAGCAGACTCTAGGGTGACTGGATATCGGTGCCCCATCCGAAGGCCCCTTCCCCTAGACCAGCGGTTCTCAACCAGGGACATCTTTGCCCCCAAGGGGACATTTGACAGTGGCTTGAGACTTTTTTTTTTATCACTATGACTGTGGGTGGTGGGTAGAAGCTAGGGGTGATGCTGTACATCCCACAATGCACCCCACTTACCCCACCCTGCACCCTGCACCTGTGTCTATGCCTTATAGCAGGTGGCTCTTCAGCCAGCTCATTATTTCCAAGAGACTTGAACTTGGACTCCAGAGACCTCAGCCATGGTTTCCTCTTCCAGCACACAGGGATGCTGAAGGCTGCCTTGTCTCTAGTTATTCCACCTCCTGATCGTTGAGCCTCTTGATCACCTACCTGGTCTATGCTGTCCCTAGAGGTCTCTTCCTCTCCTGCCCCAGGTCTCAGGAAACCTGTCTGATTGGCTTTTCTCCACTTGCTTTACTGCTGGGTGTTTGTAGTTCCTAGAGCAGCCTCTGGGGCCCCATAGCCACCACCTAAAACACTGCAGAGTAAAGGAGGCAGAGAGAGTGAGTGAGAGATGGAGAGAGAGGTCCCCCCCGCCCCAACGCCTTCTCTGAGTGCCCTGTCATCCTGGGTCTCCTTCCAGTCGCTCCCTGACATGTATAAATATTCTATTTGTGTGTTGATTTGATTTGATTCGTCTCCACACACCTCCGCTCCTGAGGACAAGAAACCGTGACTGGCAGTGTCCCCAGCACCCTGCATAGTGCCTGACACATAGAAGACACTCAGAATTTATTTGTGGAATATATGAAGGGAGAGGCAGAGAGAGGAAGGGGCGAGGGGATAGATAAAGGGAAGGAAGACAAGCAAGAAAAGGCAGAGAGAAGAGGAGGGGTGTTGAATGAATGTCAGATGCTGAGATCTAAGGAGAGAAGGGAAGAGGGAGGGTCAAGACTGAGGATTAAGCACTGTATAGACTAGCTGGAGAGAGAGGGGGAGGGGTGTGGAGAGAGAGGCAAAAAAAGATGAAAAGGGTGGAGAAGAGAAAGGAATGGAGACACACGACTAGAGAGACACGTAAGTGATGAGGCAGCGAGACAGAGAAAACGTGCAGGCGCAGAGCTCCGGGAGAAAACCTCTTTGAACGCTGAGCTTGCAGAGGGAGGAGGACCACCTGCAGGCTACTGCTGCGGTTTCCATGGTGACGGGGATGCTCTGGGCAGGAGAGGAAACACTGTACGGGGAGAGGAGGAGGGACTGGGTGGGTTTTGCCCCTCCCAGGCTCTTTCCTCACCCCTGCCTCAAGCTGGAGATTCAGGGCCGAGGACGGGGAGGTGGGAGTGCAGCCTCCCCCGCCCTCCTCAAAGGACCCTGCAGATGTGAAGAACTTAGGCGCCTCGTCTCCCACTCCCCCATCCCTGGCATTTGACCCTCCTCCCCTCTCCCGGGTCCTGGAGGGTCCTGGAGGGTCCTGAAGAGTGTTAGGGAAATATGGGAAGGTGGCTGGGTCAAGCCCTCTCCGTAGACTCCTCCTCTCTTCCCACCCCATAATTGCTAGAGCGCCCCTGGGCTCCGTCCTGGGCCTTCTCTTCAGTTTCCATAACGTCCCGTCCTAGGGATTTACATGCCCACAGCTCCCACATTTATATCCCCAGCCCTGATTTCTCCCTGAGTTTCCTTCTCCTTTTGGGTATCTAAAGGGCATCTTCAAACTTGTTGAATTCTTTAACTCACCAAGCTCATTCTTGCCTCAGGGCCTTTTTGCATTTGCCATTCCCTTTGCCACGAGCTCTTTTCCCCAGCCATTTATTAGAGGTGTCTTTCACTTGAGCTAAGAATTGTCTTGGAGAAGGCGAGCGCTTTGGAGAGGGGAGGAAGGCCTGCTCCAACGTGTGTGTGTGTGTGTGTGTGTGTGTTTGAGTGTGTAAGATCACAGTGCTGTCAGGGGCGCCCTGTGTCAGTATAAGGAGCACACCCTAGGGGAGTGTGGAAGGACTGTCCTGTTAGAAGGTCGGAGTGAGGCCAGAGGAGGCAGAACTCGAGGCAGGGAAGAGTCTGTGCTGTGGGGAGCACTTCCTCGTACGGTAGATGAGGGAAAGAGATGGCAAAGCCAGGTGTCCCCCTCCCCATCCTGGCAACGAACGAGATGTGCCTCCTAGACAGTGGGCAGAACTGACCGCCACTCCCACTTTGTCATCACTGTCATCTAAAACCCAGGTTAAGCACCTGTGGGCCTGGCGGGGGGTCAAGGGCCCCTCTGCCCCAACCTGAGCCTTGTGGTGACCTCAGGTCTCAGACACAGTAACAGTAACTGGCGGACTGTCAGGCACTAAAAAAGGCAACATAAAGCCAGTGGACATAGTCATAAACTCTCTGCCAGGAGGGGAAGGTCTCAGCTGGAGGTGGCCTACTGAGCCCGGAAAATGGCTCTCAATAAAAATTTGTTGAGTAAATGACAAAAATAAAAAATAAAGAATGGTGAGGATGGGAGAGGGTAAGCATGGCCAAGACGCTAAAGGGAGCTGAAGGAGGTGACCCTGGTTTGCTATTTTCTCCTATTTCCAGGAAGCCTTCCCGGAGGAGGAGTTGATTTGATGGGGGCAGGAGGTGGCATTGTGTTTTGGAAAGTTTCTGCTCCCCAAGGCATGAGGCCCTCCCAGGGTGTAGAGTTTCTGGATCCACAGGAGGTGGTTCATAAGCTCTTGGGTTGATGGGAGGTGCGGGGGAGCGGGGCCCAGCCTCAGGGGGCCTCCTGGTGGTCCTCAGGCTCTGGGAAGTAATCTTCCCCTTCTCTCTTCCTTCCTGACCCTGGCGGTGGGCTCGGCCTGGCGCCCCCTCAGCTCTGTGCCTTGTGCTGGGCTGCATGATCTTCCCCGACGGCTGGGACGCCGAGACGATCCGGGACATGTGTGGGGCCAAGACCGGGAAGTACTCCCTGGGGGACTGTTCGGTGCGCTGGGCGTACATCCTGGCCATCATCGGCATCCTCAACGCCCTCATCCTCTCCTTCCTTGCCTTCGTGCTGGGCAACCGGCAAACGGACCTGCTGCAGGAGGAGCTCAAGCAGGAGAACAAAGGTGAGCGGGCGCACGCTTCCGGGTGGGTGGCTGGCAGTCGCGGGGTGCGGAGGTGGGCGAGGCCGGCGGGCCACCTTCAAAGTCAAGTGAAGCACAAGGTGGAAACCTTAACAGAGAGGCCGACTTCCTGGGAGACAGTTGGAGGTTATCCCTCAAATCCGAACATTGGCACGCCTGACCCAGCAAACCCTCCCATGAGTATAAACCCAGGAGAAATGTATGAATGCTCTTGGCTGCAGTTGCAAAATAGCAAACACTAAAAACTACCTAAATGGCCATTGACAGGAGGATGGATAAATATATGGTGATACATTCACATCACAGAATTGTTTACAACTGTGGAAATGAATGAACGTGTTATATGTAATGGAATGAATGGATACATCCTGGAAACATAATATTGAGAGAGAGGGGAAAAAATAGAATTCCAGAAGACGACAGTGAGATAATTTTTTTGAGTTAACAAACTAAGTAACACTATGCTAAATACAGTTTAAATATATATATATATATATATATATATATGTGGTAATATTGCGTATTTTTTAAAAAAGCAAAGAAATGATCAATACAAAAGGTATCATGGTGGTTCTCTGTAGCTGGGATGGAAGCAGGGAAGCAAGGACATGAGGTGGGGGACAGGTGGGTGTGTACAAACTATTGGCGAGTTAAGTACTTGCATGGTGAGCCCACAGATGTTTGGTGCAGTATGCTTTATACCTAGTATAGTACACATAAACTTTCGTATGTATCAGGTAACATTAATATACAATAAAGAAAAAATTGACACCTAAGGCCAGAGTCTCAGGGATTACCAGTTATCAGATGCTTATCTGTGTATCTATGTATGTCCCTTTGTGAAATATGTGGTAGTGTTATGTGCTAATATAGGAGAGGCATCGTCCAAAACAAATCCCTCCTCAGATTGCTTTTTGTGCTCAACTCTAGAGCACATCTTAAAGATCTTTATCATTTTGTGGAGAACCATCTTGTCCTTTTTATCCAATGCCTAGCATTACATAAGACGAAGGAATTATAGTTTCTTAACTGTTCTCCTTGTAGGGGCTGTTAGGGAGGTTCCCAGGTTTTTACTGTTACTGGCAATGCTACAGTGACCATCTTTGTCCTTGCCTTCTGTTTTCTTGGTGTCTTTCCAGAAGTGGAATTGCACACTCACAATTGTAGTGATAATTCCAGATTGCTCTCTAAAGGAAGGTCAGTCCTCTGACCCAGGGGCCCATGCTGCCCCTAGAGAAAGGGGAGACACCCCGTCTGTCTGGGTGCCCGTTTTCTGCCATGGGAAATCGGATTTCGTCGTCTCACCCTTCCTTGAGCTCTTAGCGTGTGCTGGATGTATGTTCATCACTTTCCTTTAATTACATTCATCTCTTGGAGCCTCTTATCTGTAAAATGGGGATAGTGAGGGTTATTATCTCATTTGGCAGGAGTTACTCTAGTATTGTGGTGTGAATACCCTTGGACTGTGAAGGCAGGTTGTCTGTGTTGGAAGCAGGTTGAGCTAAGGAATGAATTCACCTCTTTGAGCCTCAGTTTCCTGCACTGCCTAAAATGAGGGTGGTGAAAAAAAAAAAAAAGTAAGACTCACGTCCTTTTTATCCCCCGAGGATACTCAGAGGCCTGACCTGGAGTGGTCCACAGTCTCCATCCTCTTCCAAGTACAACTGGACTTGGATACAAACAGGCACACCAGATGACTGGAAGGACACCTGACCAGTGCTAAGCACTGACACCCAGACTCTACCTGACTCACCCCACCTGAGCCCAGTCCAGGCCTGCACTGTCCCCCAGTCCCCACCATCTATGCGTATTCCAGACCAACCCCTCAGAACTGTCATCGTAAGATGGGACAAGGGATGGGGAGAGGTGCTCCCGCTTCAGAACAACCCTTTCATTTCATCCTCCTGAGAAGCCTCCTAATCCAAGTCAGATGTTTCACGGCTTTGAGGCATCTATTGCCGACCCTTGTCCCAGTCCCCGTTCTCCGTGAGGCCGCCTCCTCTGCCTCCCCATGGCAGGGAGAGCTCAGCCTCCAGTCTAACATGTCTTGGAGGTGACAGTAGAGTAAGAGAAAGAAGAAAAGAGCAGAATTTGTCTCATGAATCAGCACTCCCCCAACTGTGGTTTATGTAAAAAGTTTCAGAGCACCAAATAATACTGAGGGTTTCACAGCCCATTTCAGGTAATGTTATGTTTGGTAAATTTAACATGTTTTAAATGGAGGTTACCAACTGCTATATAAAGTGTTTATTAAATTAGAAAAAATTGTTTGCTAATACTTTCACAAAATATAAGTCATTCTGCTTTACACCTCCAACTTCTGTAGTACTGTATGTCAATTATATCTCAATAAAACTGAAAGAAAAAAAAAAACAAAAAACGAGGGTGGTGAGAATGGTACCACCTAACAGGGCTGTCCTGCAAGGAAGAAAGACTGTGCCTATAACGGGGCAGTGGTGAATGCTCAGCGAAAGCTGTCACTCCTCACAGCTCCCCATCAGGCAGGCATCATAACCACCATTTTATAAATGAGAAAGCCGAGGTCTGGACAGGTCCAGTGACTTGCCCAAGGTTACCTAAGTGGTGGAGCCAGGATTTGAGGTCCAAGTCCAAAGGCCAGGCTCTTCCCTGCTGCCAGTCCCCTTTTCAGGGCCCTCCTGGGCTGCTAAGCTGTCCGTCTCTGAGGCTCCTGTCCCTGGAGACACTGGTACCTGGTCGTTTCTATGGTTTTGGTGTGAGGTCGGAGCCTGCCCTCTGGTGGCAGCTTCTAAAAGTGCAAGACTAAGACAGCCACGTGGCCTTTCCAAAGAAGTTTGGGGTTGTGACTAGTGTGAGGTTGGCCCACTCAGTGTCCTCTCCTTCCTCCCCAAAGCGCCCTAACAGCTCAGTGTTAAAAGTGACATAAGGGAGCCCCAGTTTGCCTTCCTTCAGCATCTGGGGATTTCCTTCCCTCATTGGGAACTCAAGGTGAGTGAGCCTCACCATTCAGTTCTGAGCCAAAGACCTCTGGAAGAAAAGTAAGCTCTACTTTGGTGTCATTTCCACTATTTACTATGTGCCAAACACTGTGCAAAGCCCTCGGCTGGCATTATTTACATCTTTTTAACCCCTCAGAATCACTCTGTGAAGAAGTAGGCTATGTTCATTTTACAGATGAGGAAATTGGGGCTCAGAGAGGTGGAATGACTGGCTCAAGGCCTTCCAGCTAGTCAGGGCTGGCTCCATTTCAGAACCTGGGCAGCTCACCCCTCTGCCCAGCTTTGCCCTGAGGAGTGGCTGACGGAGCCCCAGTGCCGGGCGGCCTCTGACTTTCTCCAATTCTCTCTCTCTCTCTTAGATTTTGTGGGCTCTACAGTAAGCTCTGTGTTGCGGCCAGGGGGTGATGTCTCTGGATGGGGAGTCCTCCCCTGTCCCGTCGCTCACTCACAGGGACCCTGAAGGCCGGGATCACAGCCCAGGAGTTGACCTGCCCTCAGCTTGTCCTGTCTCCTGCCCTCTCATCCCTCCATTCACGCTCTGAGGGAAGACCCCGATCTTGGACTGACCTCACCTGCTACCTGCCTGCGAGCTCCGGGCTTTGAAGAGAGGCTGGGGCTGGGATGCAGCCTGAGGGAGGGGAGAGGCCCTGCAGAGCCTGGGAGGGTCTGGGTCTGCACCTCCCTCAACTGACCTAAGGGAGACAGCCCCCAGTCCCTGGCCTCCTCTTCCCCTCCAGTCTGGCCAGGGCCTTGCAGAGTCTTCAGGGGAAGGTGACGCCGTGGTTCCCCCACCAGGCTCCCTCAGTCCGGAGGGCTGCTGCCTGGCTCTATCCTCGCCTCCTCTGGTCCCCGCCTCCTGCAGAAACTTATCCAAGACACTGTTCCAGGGCAGCAGACTGGACTCTTTCCTATCTTTTTTTTGGCTGATGGTGGTTCCATCATCTCGTCACAGAGCTCCAGGCGCCACCGGCCTCCCTTGGGCCTCTCTGCTCCTGCTGCAGCCTGGTCCCAGCTCTCCCAAAGGAGTCTGAGCTGCACCGAGGGAGAAAGCACAGGGCCTTCTGGTCAGATGCTGACTGGGGCCCTGTCCACGTGGACTCTGAGCCAAGACAGGCAGGCTGTGGAGGCAGTGCCTGGACTCCTGTCTTGATGGCGCTTGGCCTCTGCAGCTGGGGCTGGAAGTAGCTCTGGGGCTGGCCTGGCCTCCTTCCTGCTCGGATGGGTCACCAGTGACTGGACCCTTGACCCCGGCCTGTTTTGTACAGCGTAGAACTTCTTGGCCCTGTTGTCAGGGTTGGGGAGAGGCGCCCATGAGTAGGGAATTAGGGGATGCGTCGCCCCTCTGCCCCTTCTCGTGCTGTCCCCCCATCCCCTTCTGCCAAGGGCAGAGACTGTCTTGCCTCTTTGATACTTTTCTGCATAACTTGAACTTGCAGGTCACCTCTGAACAGGGTATCCCCTGTCCCCATCCCCAGCCCTAGTAACCCTCTCCCCACCTCCTCCTCCTCCCTGCCCACCTCTCACCTTGCGGTTTGCCCAGGGTCTGCAACCCAGTGGGCACGCTTGGAGCCGAGGCATGAGAGTGTGTGTGTGTGTGTGTGTGTGTGTGTGTGTGTGTGTGTGTGTGTG